AAAAATGCCAAGGGGGGTGAATACTTTCGCAAGCCACTATAGGCCTACTGGTCTTTTGCTACGTCAAAATTTACTTGTGAAGCTTCCGTTTGGAATTTGTTGTTAATGTATTATTTCATAATCAATGTGTTGTAGACAAAATAAAGGGCTGTCTGGTAGCCTCCATAAATAGACATAGATTTGTAGTTGAACAAGTCGTTGCCTGTAGATTTTTTTTACATCTTGAGACTTGACTTGAAAAAACATGTGACTTGACTCAACTTGACTTGCTCTTAAAATGCACACTTGGACTTGACGCGACTGAATCTACTTGGGACTCGACTTGAGACTTGTGACTCAAATAATAGTAACTTGGTCCCACCTCTGGGGCTCATACATCCTAAATGGCACCCTATTCCCTACATAGTGCCCTGGTCAAAAGTAGTGCACTACATAGGGAATAGGGTGCCATTTGGGACGCAACCAAGGTCACAGAACTTCAGCGAAATGTCAGTCTTGGCATCTGATCATCATAATTTTTTTGTCTTCTTTCTTTGGCAGCTAAATGTAAACAATTTTTGACCATAATCACTTCAACAAAAATGAAAATGCAACAATTCTTAGAAAGAAAGCTATTCCATTTGAAACTCTTCTGTAAGGAACACACACACACACACACAGTATTAATATAGAGTCTGACGTCTGCCGGTTAGCAATGGCCTCGAGGAGAAATGAGACCTGTCACTCACAGCTTTAAATTTCAACCTTTGTTCATGTCTTCCATGCCTGGGGGAACACATAACTCCCCCACCCTCTCTGGCTTTCAAAAAGAGCAAACTGAATCGTTTAAAGAGCAAACTGCCATGGGATTAATTTAAGATACTCTTTGAAGAGGTAGGGTTTCAGATGTTTTTGGAAGATGGGCGGGGAATCTGCTGTTCTAGCTTCAGGGGGAATATGGTTCCACCATTGGCAGGGTTTTTTCTGCATAGAAAAGTCTTGGGCGGACTGCCTAAGTATTTTTTCTGGCCGCCTATGTCCAAACAGTAAATGTAGTCTCGACTCAACCCTCCCACTTTTCCCACTGCATTTCATATACAGGTTCTGTAGCCAATGTAGACAATTCCCGCTCTTTTCCTCAGAGAAAATGGCTTGATTCTAGCCCTTAGGTTACCTTTCAAAAGACCATACCGGTGCAATTTTTTTTTTATTCTATCGTGCATTGGTGGGCTGCATTTTACATTCATAAAGCATATCGAGGGACGTTCTTAAACTTGGCTACTTGTGGACCGGACCGTTAACCATTTGTTTAGGCTACACCTTGTTCAGTCATGTTACCTCATTAGCTAGCTATAGCTAACAACCTGGGGCGCGTTCAGCAGGACGCAACGTTTTGGAACGTTCAGATAGAAATATACTATGTAGAACAAACCTGCCTCTCTGACATGTTGATTAAGGAATAACGTCATCTCTATTCATGGAATTTCTATCTTCAACATTCGAGAACGTTTTGTAGAGAGGAGGGAGTGAAAAGATGACAGGTCCGCAGGGAGTCTAGTTTTCCTCCATTTCCGCTCGGCTGCCCGGAGCCCTCTTCTGTGAGCTCGCAATGAGTCGTCAAGCCACGGAGCAGGAGGGGAGGACCGAGCCGGCCGGGAAGATAGGGGACATAGAGAGTCAAAAGATGCAGAAAGGGAGGAGAGGAGGGTTGAGGAGGCAGAATCAGGAGATCGGAGGGAGAAGGATTTAGCAGAGGGAAGAGATGATAGGATGGAAGAGGAGTGGGTAGCGGGAGAGAGAGAGTGAAGGTTGCGACGGCGCATTACCATCTGAGTAGGGGCAGAGAGGGTAGTGTTGGAGGAGAGCGAGAGAGAAAAGGATACAAAGTAGTGGTCGGAGACTACTTTGCGGCCACCATCTGGTGATCGTGCCTCCCTCCTCTCGCTGTCTGGCTCTCGTTCTCGCTCTCTCTCTGTGTGTGTGCTTGAGTGTCTGTTTGTTTTTGTATGTAATGTGCAATATCTATGTAGGCTGAATTAGGAATTTACATGGCCAGATAATTGTTATTTATTCTAATACAGTGCTGTGAAAAAGTATTTGCCCCCTTTCTGATCTTCTCTATTTTTGCATATTTTTGATACTGAATGTTATGAGATCTTCAACCAACGGTCAAGCATGGTGGTGGTAGTGTGATGGTTTGGGGATGCTTTGCTGCCTCGGGACCAGGACAGCTAAGACAATGATCCAAAACACACAATCAAGTCTGTATGTTTGTGCACATGGAAGTGATTTATGCTTACTATAGGTTTAATGAGGCAATACAAATGTGATGTGACTAAAATGAAAGGGCATTTAGTTTACTAAAATTGCCCACTGTTTTTGTCATTTTTTCAATAACTAGACTAAATCATTATTCAAATGACAAAAATGTGACGAAGACTTAATTATATTTTTGTCAAAATGACTAAGACTGGACTGAGCTGAGTGGGAGCTGACCCCCGTTGGGGTGGGACGGCCAAGAGACCAGAGGTGGCAGAACAGAGTGCTTGGGTTGGAGTGTAGGATTTCAGCATAGCCTGAAGATGGGGAGGGGCAGTTCCCCTTGCTGCTCCGTAGGTAAGCACCATGGTCTTGTAGTGGATGCGAGCCTCAACTGGAAGCCAGTGTGCGGAGTAGCAGGGTGACATTGGAGAACTTGGGAAGGTTGAACACCAAGTGGGCTGCGGCATTCTGGATAAGTTGCAGGGGTTTGATTTCACAAGCAGGGAGCCCAGACAACAGAGAGTTGCAGTAGTCTAGACTGGATTAGGACATGCTTTCTGTGTGAGGAGGGGTCGTACTCTATAATAATTAACTGAGTGTACAAAACATTAGGAACATCTGCTTTTTCAATTACATTGACTGACCAGGTGAATCCAGGTGAAAGCTATGATCCCTTATTGATGTCACTTGTTAAATCCACTTCAATCAGTGTAGATGAAGGGAAGGAGACAGTTTAAAGAAGGATTTTTAAGCCTTGAGACAATTGAGACATGGATTGTGTCAAGAACTGCAACGCTGCTGGGTTTTTCATGCTCAACAGTTACCCGTGCGTATGAAGAATGATTCACCACCCAAAGGACATCCAGCCAACTTGACACAACTGTGGGAACCTTTGGAGTCAACATGGGCCATCATCCCTGTGGAAAGCTTTCGACACCTTATAGAGTCCATGCCCCGACGAATTGAGGCTGTCCTGAAGGCAACTCAATATTAGCAAGGTGTTCTTAATGTTTTGTTCACTCAGTGTAATGTATGCCATTTAGCAGAGACTTTTATCCAAAGCGACTTAGTCATGCATTCATTTTTATGTATGGGTGGTCCCGGGAATCGAACCCACTATATTGGCGTTGCAAGCGCATTGCTCTACCAACTGAGCAACAGAGGACCTCTACGGATGTTGTAGACTAGAGCATGAACCTGCAGGATAGAGTCACTGCTTTGATGTTTGCAGAGAATGACAGTGTGTTGTAGATGGTCATGCCAGGGTTCTTTGCACTCTGGGAGGGGGACACCATGGAGTTGTCAACCGTGATGGAGAGGTCTTGGAGCGGGCAGCCCTTACCTGGGAGGAAGAGCAGCTCCGTCTTGTCGTTGGTTGAGCTTCAGGTGATGGGCCGACATCCAAGCTGTGATGTCTGCCAGGCACGCAGAGATGCGTGTCGCCACCTGGGAGTGTCATCCGCATAGCAATGATAGGAGAGACCATGTGAGGATTTGATGGAGCCGAGTGACTTTGTGTATAGACAAAAGAGGAGAGGGCCTAGAACTGAGCCACGGGGGACACCAGTATTGAGAGCATGTGGTGCAGACTCCTCCATGTCACCTGGTAGGAACAACCTGCCCGGTAGGATGCAATCCAAGAGTGTGCAGAGCCTGAGACGCCCAGCCTTTGAGAGGGTGGAGAGGACGATCTGATAGTTGACAGTGTTGAAGGCGGTGGATATATCTAGGAGGATGAGAATAGAGGAGAGAGGGTCAGCTTTGGCAGAGCGGAGAGCGTCCGTGACACAGAGGAGAGCGGTCTCAGTTGAGTGAGCCGTCTTGAAGCCTGACTGGTTAGGGTCAAGAAGATAACGAGAGAGAGATAACGAGAGAGTTGGTCATAGAAGGCACGCTCAGTGTTTTGGAAAGAGAAGAAAGAAGGGGTACTGGTCTATAGTTTTTGACATCAGTGGGGTCAAGTGTTGGTTTCTTGAGGAGGGGAGCGACATTGGCCATTTTGATGAGGAATGGGAGAAGGTCTCCAGAAGGGGATGGGGTCGAGCAGGCAGGTTGTCAGGCGGCTGGACATCACTAGTTGCAGGATTTCATCTGGAGAGAGGGGAGAAAGAGGTCAAGGCGTAGGATAGTTCTGTGTGAGTGGGACCAGTGGACTCAGTAGGCTGAGTGAATGAGGAGTGGATATTGTCGATCTTCTTTTCAAAGTGGTTTGCAAAGTCATCCGCGAGGAGGTGGAGGATTAAGGAAGGAAGAGAAGGTGGAAAAATGTTTCCTGGGGTTAGAGGCAGAAGATTGAAATTTAGAGTGATAGAAAGTGGCTTTAGCAGAGGATACAGAGGAAGAGACTGTAGAGAGGAGGGAGTGGAAGGATAATAGGTCCTTCGGAAGTTTAGTTTTCCTCCATTTCCGCTCAGCTGCCCGCAGCCCTATTCTGTGAGCTATTCTGTTTGACCAGACTGTGTGTGACCAGTTTTAGAGCGAGGCAGTGTGTAGTGTTCAGTCAGTGGGTACTGTTAAGGGTTGGCTACCTATGAATGACCGGTTCACTCAGACCTCTCTACCTACCTAGAACTTTTTGCTATTCACAAACATCTAGTCTGGTCCTAGATCTGTTTGGCATTGACAAATACTGAAGGAGTTAGATCTGGAACCAGGCTAACAAACAGCCGTTCACCAAACCATCCACCAGCCAATCTCCTATAGTGCAAACTGCTTTCCCCTGGATAACATTGTCTTCCCCTTTTCCCTCCTTCCTACAGAGGCACCACATAGGCGACCGTAGCTTGTCCCTGTGCAACATGTTTCTGGATGAGATGGCTAAACAGGCCCGCAACCTGATCACAGACATCTGCACCGAGCAATGCACGCTCAGCGACCAGGTGAGGTTCTGTTGTCATGGTGATTAATCAAAGTCCACACTAAGCGACCAGAGGGCTATACTACGATACAAGCTGGATCTGCTCAGGGTTTTCTAAAGCTAGCTAGCTTCAGTTAGCTTCACATTCTAGGTCATGCTTCATCCGCACTACAATGGTGAATATTGCTCGTCCGCCTGCCGCTAACTCGAGCAGGCTTGTAACTGCACGTGCATGTCGCACGTGGCTAGTCGAACGCCGGACTCTTAATTGATACAATGCTGAAACACCAATCTATGGGTGAGTCAGTGCCACATTTTCATTTGTGCCAAAGTCAAAATGAAAGAAAAGTTGTCTTGCAAATTCAGCAGTCTATGGTGTGAAATAGGCTTGTTGAAGGGCCGTCTTTATGTTATTACGTATTGTTAATGACGTCTTTGGTGTACTTATTAATACACAAGCACCTTTTTTCCCACTCCTATCGATAAAATAATTTTATTAGGCCGAAGTCATACACAAGTTTTACTGTACGTGAAGTTTCAAATGCATTCTGTCATTACTAAATGTGTAATGTATTTTAACATGACAATTTGTTAACTGTTTGGTGGGAGTGGTCTGGGTCTGCTCTCGTGTCATTCCTAACCATCTAATTATTATAATTACTGAGATGGGCCGGTCTCCAAGACACAGGCCTAATCTGAGTCCGGAAAACCGTAAGATACATTGAGTGCATACCTTGTTATCTGTGTGTTGGAACTGCTCTATTTTGGTATTGTATGTTAGACCTATTTACTTGCCATTTAAGTTTTTCAACTGATGACTCAATGTAGGTCTTAAGTCAGATACTTTTCATAATTCTATTTCTGTCATGTACAGTACAGGTAAATAGGCTTGGGCGGTATCCAGATTTTCATATTGTTATACCATTCTTCTCACATCCTGGGATTTACGATATTACCGGCATAGCACACAAGGGGGCGCTAACAATGCAAGAAAAGCCCATTGGGCCTCTATTACCAGAATGCTAACAAAATTAGCACGAACAAATAGCAAAATCACATGGACACTGTTAGCTAAATGCTAACGAGCGAACCCAAACATGAGCTAATTGCAAAGACCGGCAAATCCAGCTCATAAAGATATAAAAGCATAGCTAGTAGCTACTGAATGTCATTTTCGGTGAGTGTGGACATTTTACAACCGAAAGTGAATGAGAGAAATTGTGAAAATTGAGAAAGTTGTGAAGCATGCTTTACTGAAGGAAGAGCAGCATGTGTACACTGAGCAGAGGGGAGAACGGAGGAGAAAAAAAACGCTAGTAGGAAGCAAAGGGACAAAATGGCAGCTGTATAGATAACTCATCCAGAGCTCGTTGACTTCTGGCAGAAAGCCATTATAAGATATCTGATGGCAAACATTTAGTAGTGAATTGCATACAAGTGTAACTTCATCAGCTCATGTGCGCCGCACAACAGAGACTCTCCGATAGATATAGAACGCTATGGACTCACCAGCTCGATATCTCCCATTGTGCTATTTACAAACAAACACGTGACTGGCTCAACTGTCCTGGGGAACTACGGTAAGCTTCATAATTTAAAATAATGTGACAGATAAAATGAAGAACGCAATCTGCTTTATCTCCTAACGTATTGCACAAGTTGACTGCAGGTAATAACTTAATAAGTAGCTACAAATATTCAAATTTATTGGAAAAACTTCAAATAAATAATTTTGATGGTATTGAAAAACCATCCCGTGTCTTTTTCCCAAATACCCCGGTATACGGTATATACGGTATACCGCCCAAGCCTAGTAAATAGAACACGATATAGCCTACATTGTGCATGTTCCAACTAAGTGCCTTGAAAACATAATTTGTCACTTCATTCCTTATTGGTCTGTGGGTGTTAAAGGGGTTTTCCTGTCCCTCCTGTGCTCCTGTTGCAGCTGCTGCCAAAACATTGTGCCAAAACCATCAGTCAGGCGGTGAACAAGAAGTCAAAGAAGCAGACTGGGAAGAAAGGCGAGCCTGAGAGAGAGAAGCCTGGAGTAGAGAGCATGAGGAAGAACAGGCTGCTGGTCACCAAGTAAGTAGTGTACACACTGTAGGGTCCCTAAGTAAGGTTAGGGACTCTTTCCCAATGTGTCTATGCTCGATTCTTCCTCTCTGCTCTTTCTCAAAACAAATTGGAGTGGAACATCCACTGGAAGGTAACCTTGGATATTCTCCTCCAATTTCGAGGAATCAAGGAAAGACGAATTTGGAAAGAGCCCTGAGACGCGGAGACATTTAAATTTTTGTCATTTAGCAGACAATTTTTTCCAGTGTGACTTACAGGAACAATTACGGTTAAGTGCCTTGCTCAAGGGCACAGACTGATTTTTCACCTAGTCGGCTTGGGTATTCGAACCAGCGACCTTTCTGTTTCTGGCCCAACGCTCTTAACCGCTAGGCTACTTGTCCCCCTCCCCCTCTCCATGACCACAGTACAGTTTTATTGGATGGTTTTGTAAGTCATGGTCTGCATGCGTCCCAAATTGCACCCTATTCCCTACAAGTGGACACTGGTCAAAAGTAATGCACTACATAGGGAATAGGGTGCCATTTGGGATGTAGTCATGGTTTTGCAACTTAATTTCCCACTGTGTGTTCAAAATACCATGCTAAGATTTACTGCCATCACTTGCTCTCCCTGCTCTGGGTATTCCACTTTAATTTAGGCCTAACTCTACTACTCTACTCCTAATTCTCAGCTTCCAGTAAGCTACATAGAAACAGACCATGACCAGGGCTAGCATAATATAGATTCAGGTCTGGGCCAAAAAAGGGATGTGTAAAAACAACATTAGCTGTGGTGCTGGAGGAACTTAATCTATCTGCTCTGTCACAGATTTCCCCTTTAATCTGAAAGAAATGAGGTTTTAATGTCTGTGTTCCTAGCCTGGATAAGCTTCACACAGCGCTATCTGAGCTGTGTTTCTCCATCAACTACGTGCCCAACATGGTGATATGGGAACACACCTTCACTCCCAGGGAGTACCTCACCTCACACCTAGAGATACGCTTCACCAAGTGAGTACACACACACATTTGCACACACACATGCACGCTCACACACACGTATGTATGATCGCACATGTGCACGAACACACACAAACTCAGGGAATCCACTCTCCTATTGAAACACCAATCCTCACAGGAGGCTATGGGTGAATTTCTGCATATATTCTGACTCTGCTCTCTCTCTCTTCCCACTGTGTTGTAACGTTAGCTGGTCAGTTATAAAACCTGCCTCTACTCCTCGAACACCAATCCATTGACCATCTCACGCAAAAAGAAGGAGGCTTAGTTTATTGTTATAAATCAAGGAACATTGTCCCATTTGTTCATTTTAATTAAAATCCCCAGACAGAGTTTAACAAAAAACCTCTCCGGAGTTTATGATTTTATCTGTGATTTATTGATCCACCAGACAAACGTTTTTTTGGTCAGAGTGATTTTTGACACGCGTCCAGAATGGGGCCTGACTGGTCCAATGAAATAAACATTGTGCTGGAGAGTAACAGGTATTTTCCACTGTGGAAGTTAGGGTTGTGACGTTGGTGCTTTGGCTGGCCCGTGTGTGTGTGTGTGTGTGTGTGTGTGTGTGTGTGTGTGTGTGTGTGTGTGTGTGTGTGTGTGTGTGTGTGTGTGTGTGTGTGTGTGTGTGTGTGTGTGTGTGTGTGTGTGTGTGTGTGTGTGTGTGTGTGTGTGTGTGTGTGTGTGTGTGTGTGTGTGTGTGTGTGTGTGTGTGTGTGTGTGTGTGTGTGTGTGTGTGAGAGAGAGAGAGTGAGAGAGAGTGAGAGACGTGCGTGCGTTGGCTGGCCCCTCTCCACTGGCCGTGCTTCCCAGAGAGGAGAGGGCTCACACACACATACCCTATTACCACCACTTACCACTCCGCCCTGCTCCGCTCCTCCAGATCAGCGCAGGATAAAAGTTTTACTGCCCTTAGGTTCCCAGTTCCCAGCACACTTCAGACAGAAGGGAAAAGTGGCTAGTTATTTACTAAATTTTCCTAATGCTCGGTCAGGGTGTGAAAAAGCGTTTTATCACTTGTTGCGCCATAGTTTTTTAACCCTGCCATGTTTGAGCCGATCTGCCCGCTCCACACCTCCAAGTTATCTACGTAGAAATATGGAAAGGTTAGGGAAAACAATACAGCCATTGTTGAACATTGTTGAAGAGTCGCCCAAACTCCCTGGAGTCCATGTAACTAACAGTAACAGGGATCATTTGCTGTTGTAAAAAGGGCTTTATAAGTACATTCGAGTGATTGATAAATTGATTGATTGATCCCTATTATGCCTGACCTTAAACGTTGGCTCTGACAGTCAAATATATCATTATTGGACATGATGAATGCCCTCTCTGCATCTCTGTCAGTGAATTACAAAGAATTGTTCATCATGCCCTAGATTGACTGATGGATCCTGTTTTGTTCCTTATCTAGGTCTATCGTGGGGATGACCATGTATAACCAGGCCACCCAGGAGATAGCCAAGCCGTCTGAGCTGCTGACCAGTGTCAGGGCCTACATGACTGTGCTCCAGAGCATAGAGAACTATGTTCAGATAGATATCACCAGGGTGTTCAACAACGTGCTGCTGCAGCAGACACAACATCTGGACAGTCACGGAGAACCAACCATCACCAGCCTCTACACCAACTGGTGAGCCCTAACCCCTTAACACCCTAACCCCTTAACACCCTAAGCCTTAATCTTAACCCCTGAACTCCTTAACCCCCTAACTCCTTAACCCCCTAACTCCTTAACCCTAACCTCCTAACCCCTTAACACCCTAAGCCTTAATCTTAACCCCCGAACTCCTTAACCCCCTAACTCCTTAACTCCTTAACCCCCTAACTCCTTAACCCCCTAACTCCTTAACCCCCTAACTCCTTAACCCCCTAACTCCTTAACCCTAACCTCCTAACCCCTTAACACCCTAACCCCTTAACACCCTAACCCCTTAACACCCTAAGCCTTAATCTTAACCCCCGAACTCCTTAACCCCCTAACTCCTTAACCCCCTAACTCCTTAACCCCCTAACTCCTTAACCCTAACCTCCTAACCTCCTAACCCCTTAACACCCTAAACCCTTAATCTTAACCCCCTAACTCTTTAACCCCCTAACTATTTAACCCCCTAACTCCTTAACCCCCTAACTCCTTAACCCCTAACCTCCTAACCCCTTTAACCCCCTTAACCCTAACCCACCATCACCAGCCTCTACACCAGGGCTGTCCAATCCTCTTCCTGGAGATCTACTGTCCTGTACATTTTCAGTCCAACCCTAATTTAGCATATCTGATTCAGCTAGTTAAGGTCTTGTTGAGCAGCTAATAAGTAGAAGCAGGTGTGTTACATTAGGGTTGGACTGAAAACCCACAGGACGGTAGATCTCCGGGAAGAGGGTTTGGCAGCCCTGCTTTACACCAACTGGTACAAGCAATACATTCACAAAACAATATAAATGTCCTCTTTCTACCTGTCTGTGAATAACAGATTTGGGCCTTTTTTCAAACAAATGCAAGTGAATGTCCTGTGCACTGCGATTGAGTTTAAATGGGAATTTCTGCTTGAGCCAACATCCGTGGTGAACGTGATCTCTGTGAACATCTGAGAAAGTGCCTTAAAGTATATTGCAGTGTGCAGGTTGTTAATCTGGATTGGTTTGAATCCCAGCCTTGATCATGCCTTCCATTCAATCACACAGCCACCATACATTCTCTCTGTACTACAGGTATCTGGAGACCTTACTGCGCCAAGTGAGTAACGGACACATAGCTTACTTCCCAGCCATGAAGGCTTTTGTCAACCTGCCTACGGAGAACGAGCTCACCTTCAATGCAGAGGAATACTCTGATATCTCAGGTAAGCTTAATTAGTTATACTGTCCTTTTAGACACCAATATACTTTTATGTTACTGAGAGTATGAGTCTTATGATTTACTATCTAGCATATTTAAACAGTGCTTGTTTATAGCCATAGCTGTGTTGGATGACAGAAGGAATCACTGACAGAACATTTCCATCATCTTATGTCGGAAGGGTTGGGATAAAACAAAAACACATGTATGTTGAACATTTGTGGATGTTCATTTGACAATAAAGCACCTTAAGTATACAGAAGATGACAGAACATTTCCATGAGCTTGTGTTGGATTAAAGCAGAACACCAAATTTCCATTGGACATTTATTGGACAATAAAGTCATCTTATTCCTATCTTCTTCTCCTCTTCTCAGAGATGCGGTCACTGTCAGAGCTGCTGGGGCCCTACGGGATGAAGTTCCTCAGTGAGAGTCTCATGTGGCATATCTCCTCCCAGGTGGCTGAGCTCAAGGTGAGGGGTCACGGGGGCCATGGAGGTCAAGGGTTAAAGGTTGCGGGCCAGAGGTAATCCAGGGTTAACCCAGGGCAGGCTTGGTCATGTTCATTAGGGCACACCGCCGTAGCAAAATGTAAATGAAAATACGCTTTTTTTTTATTGGTCCAAATAGTCCCACCCCAGTTTAGGACCACTTTGTTCCGTTTGGTGCCTAATGAACACGACCCTGGTTTCTCGCTTCTCTAATTCTTAGTGTGCATCCAAAATGAGACCCTATCCCCTATATCAGGGGTGTCAAAATCATTTTGCCTGAGGAGCCGTATTTGGTCTTCAATGAAGTCCAGAGGGCCGCACTGATTCTTTTAAATATTTCCTTGCCAGTGAGCTGGACAGTCAAGAAACTGTATGAATATAGGTCCATTATCATTTCTACAGCGTTTCGATTTGGTTTTACTCATTTTAAAGAAATAGATTATTATTATTTATTCATTTTTTTAAAAACTCAAACCACCCACGGGCTGGATTAGACCTGTATGTTTGGCACCCCTGCCCTATATAGTGTACTACTTTTGACATGGGCCCTATGGCGGTCTCCTATGGGATCTGGTCAAAAGTAGTGCACTATATAGGTAATAGGGTGCCATTTCAGATACTGCCTTGTATGAGCCAATAGGGGTTAGAGGCTCTTTCCAGAAGCTGAGTTTTCCCCTGGAAACTGAACCAGACCCACAGCGGAGCAATTTTGTTGTTTCTTCATTATTCCTTAATGAGGTGTTTCCCAGAGCAGAGGCATTGTGGGTTACTGCTAACCTCTTACTGCTGACTGACTGACGTTGGATCAGGTTCCCTACCCTCACAGAATTTTTGGTAACTAATAAGAATTATATTTTAAAAAGAGGACCATGGAATTCTGTGGGGTCAGCAAAATATTTTTGATTAGATCTTACACTGAACAAAAATATATACTCAACATGCAACAATTTCAAAGATTTTACTGAGTTACAGTTCATATAAGTATATCAGTCAATTGAAATAAATCCATTAGACCCTAATCTATGGATTTCACATGACTGGGAATACAAATATGGTGTTTGGTCACAGAGGTGCGTGGATCAGAAAACCAGTCAGTATCTGGAGTGTGACTACCATTTGCTGGATATTGGCGGGAACTGGAACACGCTGTCGTACACGGCAATCCAGAGCATCCCAAACATGCTCAATGGGTGACATGTCTGGTGAGTATGCAGGCCATGGAAGAACGGGGACATTTTCAGCTTCCAGGAATTGTGTACAGATCCTTGCGACATGGGGCTGTGCATTATAATGCGGAAAAATAAGGTGATGGCGGCGGATGAATGGCACGGCAATGGGCCTCAGGATCTCGTCACGATATCCCTGTGTATTCAAATTGCCATTGATAAAATGCAATTGTGTTTGTTGTCTGTAGCTTTTTTATTTTTTTATTTAATTTTTTTTATTTAACTAGGTAAGTCAGTTAAGAACAAATTCTTATTTACAATGATGGCCTAGACCGGCCAAACCCGGATGACGCTGGGCCAATTGTGCGCCTGGAATCGAACCAGGGGGTCTGTAGTGACGCCTCAAGAACTGAGATGCAGTGCCTTAGACCTCTGCGCCACTCAGGAGCCCAGTGGTTATGGTATGGGCAAGCTTATGCCTGCCCATACCATAACCCCACCGCCACCAGCAAACCACTCGCTGACACGACGCCATACACGCTGTCTGCCATCTGCCCGGTACAGTTGAAACCGGGATTCATCCGTGAAGATCACACTTCTCCAGCGTGCCAGTGGCCATCAAAGGTGAGCATTTTCCCACTGAAGTCGGTTACGACGCCGAACTGCAGTCAGGTCAAGACCCTGGTGAGGACAACGAGCAAGCAGATGAGCTTCCCTGAGATGGTTTCTGACAGTTTGTGCAGAAATTCTTCAATTGTGCAAACCCACAGTTTCATCAGCTGTCCAGGTGGCTGGTCTCAGACGATCCCGCAGGCCGGTTAAACGTACTGCCAAATTCTCTAAAATGACGTTGGAGGCAGCTTATGGTAGAGAAATGAACATTAAATTCTTTGGCAACAGCTCTGGTGGACATTCCTGTAGTCAGCATGCCAATTGCACACTCCCTCAAAACTTGACACATCTGTGGCATTGTGTTGTGTGACAAAACTGCACATTTTAGAGTGGCCTTTTATTGTCCCCAGCACAAGGTGCACCTGTGTAATGATCATGCTGTTTAATTAGCTTCTTGATATGCAACACCTGTCAGGCTGATGGATTATCTTTGCAAGGAGAAATGCTTACTAACTTGTGCATCAAATTAATGAGAAATACGTTTTTTGTGCATATATGCAACATTTCTGGGATCTTTTATTTCAGCTCATTAAACATGGGACCAACACTTTACATGTTGCGTTTTATATTTTTGTTCAGTATACAAGACTGGGACAAAATGGGTTTATGGTAAGTGTTAGGAAAGCAGCTAGCCAGCCTATTGATAAACCTACATCTGCACCAAAATTACTTCTAATAGACGTACTGAACATACGTAGACCTCTGCGTTCCGTGGCATATTATTTGGATAGTGTTGCACTTTAGAGCTGCAAAGTCTCTTTGATTAGATTTAATCTAACTGGGATGAAAAGGTACTATGGTTAGGACCAAAATCAGTGCTTATAGATATGCATTACATGACACGCATGTCTTTGTTAGTGTTGCAAAACTGTTGTGGAAGAGTTCTTGTTGGAATGTCATTTACTTAAAGAATGATGATCAATGTTAGATTATTTTATCGCCGCAGACTAACAAAATATTTTGAATGTTTTTTCAAACGGGTCTTTGGATTATAATATAATTGGTTTGTTTAGTCCCTAGAGCACACATTAGTGTGTCAACGTAGCTCTGGCACATATCTATGATTTTCTAACATGCGAACATTTCCCTCCACATCTGAATGCAATTTGTGAAAAGAAAATAAGTTTGGTATCTGATTCACAATCAGATGTAGGAATGAAGCTTTGGTTTTATTCAGTCTCTGTACACACCGAGCCGTGGTCATCAAATTACGTTTTTGGCGAATACTCTCAAAGCAAACTGAAGGAATGGACGACATGTGAGGCATTGCGAGCGGCGCACATGACTGTCTCAACATTTCAAAAACAATCCTTTGGCTCGTTGCGCCAAGACACCATCACTAAAAATGATACGCCTCAAATTGTTTTTGGCTGCATCCCAAATGGCACTCTAGTCCCTACATAGGGCTCTGGTCAAAAGTAGTGCACTATATAAGGAATGGGGTGCCATTTGGGACACATACGTTGTAAGATCACAGCATAGTGCAACATCTGGTGATGGTAAGGGCCTTTTCCTGTTGTTCGAACGAAGGGGGAAGTCTTTGGAATTAGGAGCCCTAGTTAATTCCCCAAATAATCCCCTCACAGCTCAGGTCTCTCTCTATCTCTCTATCTCTCTATATATACAATGCATTTGGAAAGTATTCAGACCTCTTGACTTTTTCCACATTTTGTCACGTTACAGCTTTATTCTAAAATGGATTAAATTGTTTTTTTCTTCCTCATCGATCTACACACAATAACCCATAATGACAAAGCAAAAACTGGTTTTTAGAAATGTTTGCAAATGTATTAAAAATATTTTTAAAAGATCACATTTACATAAGTATTCAGACCCTTTACTCAGTACTTTGTTAAAGCACCTTTGGCAGTGATTACAGCCTCGAGTCTTCTTGGGTATGACGCTACAAGCTTGGCACACCTGTATTTGGGGAGTTTCTCCCATTCTTCTCTGCAGATCCTCTCAAGCTCTGTCCGGTTGGTCGGGGAGCATCGCTGCACAGCTATTTTCAAGTCTCTCCAGAGATGCTCGATCGGGTTCAAGTCCGGGCTCTGGCTGGGTCACTCAAGGACATTCAGAGACTTGTCCCGAAGCCACTCCTGCGTTGTCTTGCTCCGTTCATCTTTCCTTCGATCCTGACTAGTCTCCCAGTCCCTGCCGCTTAAAAACATCCCCACAGCATGATGCTGCCATCACCATGCTTCACCGTAGGGATGGTGCCAGGTTTCCTCCAGATGTGACGCTTGGCATTCAGGCCAAAGTGTTCAATCTTGGTTTCATCAGACCAGAGAATCTTGTTTCTTATGGTCTGAGAGTCCTTTAGGTGCCTTTTGGCAAACTCCAAGCGAGCTGTCATATGCCTTTTAATGAGGAGTGGCTTCCGTCTGGCCACTCTACCATAAAGGCCTGATTGGTGGAGTGCTGCAGAAATGGTTGTCCTTCTGGAAGGTTCTCCCATCTCCACAGAGGAACTCTGGAGCTCTGTCAGAGTGACCATCGTGTTCTTGGTCACCTCCCTGACCAAGGTCCTTCTCCCCTGATTGCTCAGTTTGGCCAGTCGGCCAGCTCTAGGAAAAGTCTTGGTGGTTCCAAACTTCTTCCATTTAAGAATGATGGAGGCCACTGTATTCTTGGGGACCTTCAATGCTGCATAATTTTTTTGGTACCCTTCTCCAGATCTGTACCTCGACACAATCCTGTCTCGGAGCTCTACGGACAATTCCTTCGACCACATGGCTTGGTTTTTGCTCTGACATGCACTGTCAACTGTGGGACCTTATATAGACAGGTGTGTGCCTTTGCAAATCATGTCCAATCAATTGAATGTACCACAGGTGGACTCAAATCAAGTTGTAGAAACATCAAGGATGATCAATGGAAACAGGATGCACCTGGGCTCAATTTAAAGTCTCATAGAAAACGGTCTGAATACTCATGTAAATAAGGTATTTCTGTTTTTTATTTTTAATACATTCGCTTTGTCATAATGAGGTATTTTGTGTAGATTCATTAGTTAATTAGTTAAAAAAGTTAATTTAATCAATTTTAGAATAAGGCTGTAACGTAACAAAGTGGAAAAAGTGAAGGGGTCTGAATACTTTCTGAATGCACTGTATGTACTGTAAATCTCCCTATTCCTGTTCCCCGCTCTCATTCCTACTCCTCTCCCTGTCTCCCTCAACTCATTATTCTCCTCTTCAGAAACTGGTGATGGACAACGTTGAGGTTTTGACCCAGATGAGGACCAGCTTTGACAAGCCTGGAGAAATGGCTGCTCTGTTCAAGAAGCTCTCATGTGGGTACTCTCTGTGTATTTCTATTGGACTGGTCAGTCTTGCTATGCCAGACAGACACTAGGCTCAGTGCTGCCAAGGGCCAAATAAGCAACAGATACATGAAACACTCTCCCATAAATAGTACTGTTCTGCGTACAGGCCTTTGGTTGTGGCTGCTGAAGAGCAAAAGTGACATAACATAACACCTAAATCTTATTTGCTTACCTGTAAAAATTACTAGAGACGTCAGTTGTCTGTGAGGCTCACATGTTCTTTGTCTTGGTGTTACAGCAGTCGACAGTGTTCTGAAAAGGATGACCATTATCGGCGTCATCCTCTCATTCCGATCCCTGGCTCAGGAGGCACTCCGAGATGTAAGTCGGCTCTTTAAACCCCCTAAAAGTCTAAGCCTTTGGGGGGGGGGGGGGTCTTCTAAGCTAACATATGGATCATTTAGCTATTTGATTTTGAATTTTAGGACCCCTGTAGGTATAATAAAAAAATACTGCTATAGCCCATAGAAACACATTCATAACTGGCAAAACAAAACCCAAAAAAATATCATAACGAATAAGGTTTTAAAGTGTCGATCCTATATCTAGGAGATATACAAAAGCTCCGAAATTATTTTTTACATTTTTAACACATATTTAACCCCTTTTTTTTGGGGGGGGGGGGACAAAACTACTTCCATTCATTTTTTTAAACCGGTACCAAGTTACCTTCAGACGAGTCCTGTGACACTTGTGAAGGTCGTAGAGCAAAACGGAGAACACCATCTTGTTCGTGAGAATCTCCCCTTTCCATGTGGGGTCATATTAGTTTGTAGCCCAAACAGTTTGGACGCTACAGACAGAAGTTGGCACATCGGCGGGGGTCGTAGAACAAAACGGAAAACACCATAGTGTTCGTGAGAGGCCGACTTGGGCGGATGCAGTGGATTGAGACGCAGCCCATGCAAAAAAACTGATATCTCTAGCTTAAACAGACAGATTTGTATCTGGATTCTTTTATTATGGTAATTGGATTGACGCACGGGTGCATCAATCAACTGTAGGGGGTTAACTTTCCCCCACTGATTGGCATCATGTATTGACACAATACACTACACAATTATCTTGCGTTGTCTCAAGCTGGTTTCTCACATTTCACCCTGTGCTAAAATTAGTTACATCTAATATTTCTGGCTTAGTATTGAGGTAACACATTATTTTCTTCTTGTCAACAGGTGTTGTCATGCCACATCCCATTCCTGGTGAGCTCAGTGGAGGACTTCAAGGATCACATTCCTAGAGAGACCGACATGAAGGTGAGAGACACAATAGGACCTTTAAATTATGCTTTATGAGGTCAAGGTTGTGAGTTCAGTTCCCACAAGGATCACATACACTGGGCTGTAAATTGCTTTGGATTAGAACATCTGCGAAGTGGCATATATTATTCATACGATATATGAATGGCTGTTTTGTTTGAAGCAGACTGATTCTCTGATGTCCTGTATGTTGATCATTAGGTGGCCATGAACGTGTATGAGCTGTCCTCTGCAGCAGGCCTGCCCTGTGAGATAGACCCTGCCTTAGTGGTGGCCCTCTCCTCCCAGAAGTCAGGTGAGATAGGACGCGCCATACACTGCTGCATCACAACTGTTACATGGAAGTCCATTTCTCTGTACGCACCATTGTTGAGGACGTCTCTATGATTGTGTATTTGATGAAATGATTGTTGAATAATGACTAACTGTAACAAGAACACATGTGAACTAGTTTACTGCACATCTTGGATTTAGTCAATCGTCCATTTACAATTTTAATTTTGAATGTTTAGTTGTTGAGCTGAAATTATGATGACTATCAAATGCCTCATAGCCTGAGTTACATGTCCAAACACTGTGTAAAGGGATGACTGATTCACTGTTGAAATCTGTTTGAAAATAAATCTGTTAATAATGGCATAGAGAGAGACAGTTGGACAAGCATTAGAACTACATTCCACTCTGTAGTCATGTATCAAAATCAATGTTTTCATAAATGAAAAATAAATGCATGTCCTGTCAATATTTCATAATCGCAACAGATATGCCAGGCTTTGTTTAGGTAATGTTTTAACACCTCAGCACCCCTGAGGGACGTGTTACTTAACAGGACATGTTGATGCTTATACACACTTGTATTAGGTTGTCAAGTCATGCAGCCTGCAGCCATATCCACAAAGTGCAGTCCAGTCCATATGTGCATCCCTTCACTTTTTCCACATTTTGTTACGTTACAGCCTTATTCTAAAATGGATGAAATTATTTGTTTCCCTCATCAATCTACACACACTACCCCATAATGACAGGTTTTTAGACATTTTTGCGAAATGATATATATACAAATATAAATAAGTATTCAGACCCTTCGCTATGAGACTTGAATTTGAGCTCAGGTGCATCCTGTTTCCATTGAAAAATCCTTGAGATTTTTATACAACTTGATTGGAGTCCACCTAGCCATGAGGTCGAAGGAATTGTCTGTAGAGCTCCGAGAGGGTTGTGTTGAGGCACAGATCTGGGGAAGGGTACCAAAACAATTCTGCAGGATTGAAAGTTCCCAAGAACACAGTGGCCTCCATCATTCATAAATAGAAAAAGCTTAGAACCACCAAGACTCTTCCTAGAGCTGGCCGCCCGGCCAAACTGAGCAATCGGGGGAGAAGGCCCTTGGTCAGGGAGGTGACCAAGAACCCGATGGTCACTCTGACAGAGCTCCAGAGTTCCTCTGTGGAGATGGGAGAACCTTCCAGAAGGACAACCATCTCTGTAGCACTCCACCAATCAGGCCTTTATGGTAGAGTGGCCAGACGGAAGCCACTCCTCAGTAAAAGGCACATGACAGCCAACTTGGAGTTTGCCAAAGGCACCTAAAGGACTCTCAGACCATGAGAAACAAGATTATCTGGTCTGATGAAACCAAGATTGAACTCTTTGGCCTGAATGCCAAGCGTCACGTCTGGAGGAAACCTGGCACCATCCCTACGGTGAAGCATGGTGATTGCAGCATCATGCTGTGGGGATGTTTTTCAGCGGAAGGGACTGGGAGACGAGTCAAGATCGAGGGAAAGATGAACAGAGCAAAGTACAGAGAGATCCTTCATGAAAACCTGCTCCAGAACGCTCAGGACCTCAGACTGGGGCGAAGGTTCACCTTCCAACAGGACAATGACCCTAAGCACACAGCCAAGACAACGCAGGAGTGGCTTTGGGACAAGTCTCTGAATGTCTGAGTGGCCCAGCCAGAGCCTGGACTTGAACCTGATCGAACATCTCTGGAGAAACCTGAAAATAGCTGTGCAGTGACGCTCCCCATCCAACCTGACAGAGCTTGAGAGAATCTGCAGAGAAGAATGGGAGAAACTCCCCAAATAATAATATAATATAATATGCCATTTAGCAGACGCTTTTATCCAAAGCGACTTACAGTCATGCGTGCATACATTTTTGTGTATGGGTGGTCCCGGGGATCGAACCCACTACCTTGGCGTTACAAGCGCCGTGCTCTACCAGCTGAGCTACAGAGGACCACAATACAGGTGTGCCAAGCTTGTAGCGTCATACCCAAGAAGACTCAAGGCTGTAATAGCTGCCAAAGGTGCTTCAACAAAGTACTGAGTCTGAATACTTATGTAAATGTGATATTTCCGTTAATAAAAAAATAAAAAAATAAAAATATCTAAACCTGTTTTTGCTTTGTCATTATGGGGTATTTTTTGTAGATTGATTGAGGGGGGAAAAACAATTGAATCCATTTTAGAATCCGGCTGTAAAGTAACAATGTGGAAAAAGTCAAGGGGTCTGAATACTTTCCGAATGCACTGTATGTCCGAAATGGAACCCTATTCTCAGAGATTCCTCTGTGTGCATCCCAAATGGCACCCTATCCCCTATTTAGGTGTCTGGTCAAAAGTAGTGCACTATATAGGGAATAGGGTGCCATTTGGGACGAAGCCACTGGCTCTGCTCAAGTTCCCAGCCTCTCTCTGTTGCTCTAAGGAAAATACTGAATAACATTGCTTTAACTCTGTCAGAGCCATTAAGAGCCCTGCAGGCCTTTTGGCCAGCGATTACATTTCTATTATGCCCCTGCTGTTCTTATACAAACCTCTGTTTTAATATCAAAATAGTTATCAACCCTCAACTTCGTCTCCTAGGATGCAAATGGCACTCTTTTCACTATGTAGTGCACTACTTTCGACCAGGGCCCATAGGGGTCTAGTCAAAAGTAGTGCCATATAGGGAATAGGGTGCCATTTGGGAGGCACTCCTACCCCACATAGTTGAATAATCTCCCAGTGTTGTCCTGTTAATATAAATTACAGTTAATTATGGAGCCTTATTGCAGTTTGTCTTGGCTAGAGGGTCTTCGTGTTCAGATAATATCCAAACTGGATCCCCCCGATTTCCCCCAAACGGCTATTTCTTTCATATTTTTTTTCTCTATGTCATGATGCCAAGATAAAGACGTGCTGTTAAGCTGTCATGGTCATGGTGATGGTTTGTTAACGGACATTTCCTTTCTTTGGTAACAGAGAACATCAGTCCTGAGGAGGAGTACAAGATAGCGTGCCTGCTGATGGTCTTTGTGGCAGTCTCTATGCCCACCTTGGCAAGCAACGTCATGTCCCAGTATAGCCCTGCTATTGAAGGTACCTGTTCTTAGATAAATGAAGTAAATGTTCTATGTACATTTTAAGTATATTTGTTGTTATACTTATTGATATGGTTCCTTCATAATAGTCCTTGTTAACAGCGCTGTGAGATAATAAGATGTTTTAAGTACATTTTATGTTCATTTGTTGTTACATGTATATGGATTGATGTGGTTTAGTCCTAATAGTATCAAGTTAACATTGTAGAAAGATATAGTAGATAGTTTTACCCGCAGTGTTTAAAGATATAGTGGAGACATGAATTTATTCTTGTCTGTTGTCCTTTCACAGGTCACTGCAACAACATCCACTGTCTGGCTAAAGCTATAAATCAGATCGCTGCAGCTTTATTCACCATTCACAAGGGCAGCATCGAGGACCGCCTCAAAGAGTTCCTCGCAGTACGTTTTATAGTGATAGTCCATTTGGTTTATACCACACATTTCTCTTCACCCTTTTATTTATTATAAGCAGCTCTCTTCTTTCATTTGTTTTATATTTAATCTCTCTGGTGGGTTTTCCAAAATGCTAGAGAGGGTATGCATCCCAAATAGCACCCTATTCCCTATATATAGTGCACTTCTTTTGGGCCTTGGTCAAAAGTAGTGCAGTATTTAGGGAATAGGGTGCTATTGGGATATATCCTGGGTCATGTAAGAATTTATTACACACAGCATGAGAGGCAGGATATTTATTTTATTTCATTTTTTATTTTCAAGACCGGGATTGATAAACATTAATGTTCCATGAACCTTCTGTGATTCTAAATCATTTTTTATTTTAATATCTGAAATGAGTTTTCTTGGATGACTGGGGCTTTTTCTGCATCGCTGAGGAGGAGGGTACAGCACACCACCAACCTTGTTTTCCCCTCTGTGTTTCCATTGGAATTATTCCTCATACAGTGTCGTCTCTTACTTTGTATTGCGCTCCAATAATGTATTACTACAACGGTGTTAAAATATTTAATGCTGTCTCCAGTCTGATACCATGTGAGATGCAGCCCAAGCCCCATCCTCTTTGAAACACTGCAGTGTTTAGTTCAAATCCAAGAGTAAATTTGACCCATGTGTAAACGCTGAACCCACAAGGCAAGGTTAGAGTGGGAAACTGGTGGTTTGGGATAATTCATATTGACTGTGTTATAGACTTTAAATGTCTAGTAACGTTGTGCTTTAAATGTCTAGTAACGTTGTGCTTTAAATGTCTAGTAACGTTGTGCTTTAAATGTCTAGTAACGTTGTGAAACTGATGGAAAGAGACACAAGTGCTTCTATACCTTTTTTAGGACCAGTTTCCCCAGACACAGATAACTCTTAGTACAGGACAAAAAGTTTGAGTTTGCTGTTTAGTTCAGAACTAGGATTAATCTGTATCTGGGAAACCGGCCCTCCGTGTGAAAGTTGTTCTTAAAGTTTTCTCAGGTGCAGCTTCGTAATGTCTAGAAACATTGTGAAAAGACACCATGCTTCTACACATTCAGTGTTAAAGTTTACATTTTACATTTTGAGTCTTTTACTCGTACTCCTGAGTGACGCAGTGGTCTAAGGCACTGCATCGCAGTGCTAACTGTGCCACTAGAGATCCTGGTTCGAATCCAGGCTCTGTCGCAGCCGGCCGCGACCGGGAGACTCATGGGCGGCGCACAATTGGCCCAGCGTCGTCCAGGGTAGGGGAGGGAATGGCCGGCAGGGATGTAGTTCAGTTGATAGAGCATGGCGTTTGCAACGCCAGGGTTGTGGGTTCGATTCCCACGGGGGGCCAGTATAAAAAAAAAAAGAAGATATGTATTCACTAACTGTAAGTCGCTCTGGATAAGAGCGTCTGCTAAATGACTAAAATGTAAATGTAATGAGTCATTTAGCAGACAATCTTATCCAGAGCGACTTACAGGAGCAATTAGGGTTATGTGCCTTGCTCAAGGGCACATCGACATTTCGGTTACTGGCCCAACACTCTTAACCACTAGGCTATCTGCTGCTCCATTTTTAAGTTGTTCTTAAAGCTGATAGTTATTTCCCATTCTTCTACACAGTCAGTTGAAACTGATTTAAACTGTTCTTTCTCTCCCGTGCAGCTTGCCTCCTCCAGTTTGCTGAAGATCGGCCAGGAGACTGACAAAACCACAACAAGGAACAGAGAATCTGTCTACTTGCTCCTGGATATGGTGAGTCACATACAGTATGGGTGAGTCCCAAATGGCACCCTATTCCCTATATAGTGCGCTACTATATAGGGCCCTATAGGCCATGGTCAAAAGTAGTGCAATATATAGGGAATAGGGTGCCATTTGGGATGCAGATTAATGTTCTATTTTAACCCTTTATTTAACCAGGAAGTCCCGTTTAGGTCAGAATAAATATTTCCCAAGGGAGACCTGGGAAATTAATTTAGGAGAGAAGAGAGTCCTATACTATAAGTTGATGATACTATATCAAACCGAATTACTAAGAGTTGCAGTTTCATAAAGTTAGGCTTACTTTAAATAAGGATTTCCATAGTACTAGTAGATTGGAGTTTTACTGTATAGCACTTGAACTTTGAACTTGACTTACATTATGACTAAGCTAGCCATCATCTAACACGTTGTCACATCATCTAATTATCATCTAGCCATCATCTAACTAACACATGTAATATACCAGTTTGTTCCAAGGTCAACGTTCTCACTAGGATCTGGCCAGCCCAAAGCAGAAAGAAAACAAAGAGAATCTCAAACCTTTCTACTGGAAAATGAACACAGCACTATCGTCTTTCTGACTGTGTTGAAAATGACATGCAGTCATGCATACACATGTATGGTCTTTTGATCAGAGCGACTTACTCATTGGTCTGTGGGATTTTCTTTCCTTTGAAGAATAATCTACAGGAGGGAGGTTGTTGAATAGAAAGACAACTGTAATGGAAAGAAGGAAGAATCAGCCACAGTCTTTATCCTGCAGTGGGAACTGGCATAGGATAGAACACACACACGGACGCATGGAGGCACGCACACATAATATAGAGAACAAGGCGAGATCACAAAAGTGTGATTCAACTTCCGCTGCGTCCCAAATGGCACCCTATTCCCTATATAGCACACTAATTTTGACCAGAGCCGTATGTGGGTCCTGGTCAAAGGTTGTGCACTATATAGGGAATAGGGTGCCATTTGGGATGTAACCTATGTGTAACTTTGTTCTCACTGTGGTTATTTTTGGTTGTATCCTTATCCATCCATGTGTTTTCTCTACCAGATTGTGCAGGAGTCCCCGTTCCTGACCATGGACCTTCTGGAGTCCTGCTTCCCATATGTGCTGCTCCGTAACGCATACCACGCCGTCTACAAGCAGAGTGTGCCTTCCTCCACCTGAGAGCCCTGAGAGGAGGTGAAAAGAGGGTAGAGGAGAGAGGAGGGTAGAGGAGAGAGGAGGGTAGAGGAGAGAGGAGGATAGAGGAGAGCCTAGTGAATGGAGGAGAGGAGAGAGGCTGGCGGGAGAGAGGCTAGCGAGAGAGGAGAGGAGAGAGGCTAGCGAGAGGAGAGGAGAGAGACTAGCGAGAGGAGAGGAGAGAGACTAGCGAGAGGAGAGGAGAGAGACTAGCGAGAGGAGAGGGAGAGAGGCTAGCGAGAGAGAGAGAGAGAGAGAGAGAGAGAGAGAGAGAGAGAGAGAGACTAGCGGGAGAGAGAGAGGCTAGCGGGAGAGAGAGAGGCAAGCGGGAGAGAGGGAGGCAAGCGGGAGAGAGAGAGGCAAGCGGGAGAGAGAGAGGCTAGCGGGAGAGAGAGAGGCTAGCGGGAGAGAGAGAGGCTAGCGGGAGAGAGAGAGGCTAGCGGAGAGAGAGAGTCTAGCGGGAGAGAGAGAGGCTAGCGGGAGAGAGAGAGGCGAGCGGGAGAGAGAGGCTAGCGGGAGAGAGAGAGGCTAGCGGGAGAGAGAGAGGCTAGCGGGAGAGAGAGAGGCTAGCGGGAGAGAGAGAGGCTAGCGGGAGAGAGAGAGGCTAGCGGGAGAGAGAGAGGCTAGCGGGAGAGAGAGGCTAGCGGGAGAGAGAGAGGCTAGCGGGAGAGAGAGAGGCTAGCGGGAGAGAGAGAGACTAGCGGGAGAGAGAGAGGCTAGCGGGAGAGAGAGAGGCTAGCGGGAGAGAGAGAGGCTAGCGGGAGAGAGAGAGGCTAGCGGGAGAGAGAGAGGCTAGCGGGAGAGAGAGGCTAGCGGGAGAGAGAGAGGCTAGCGGGAGAGAGAGGCTAGCGGGAGAGAGAGGCTAGCGGGAGAGAGAGGCTAGCGAGAAAGGGAGAGAGAGGCTAGCGAGAAAGGGAGAGAGAGGCTAGCGAGAAAGGGAGAGAGAGGCTAGCGAGAGAGAATAGCGAGAGCGAGACTAGCGAGAGAGAGAGGCTAGCTAGAGAGAGGTTAGAGAGAGAGAGGTTAGAGAGAGGTTTTGTCTGGAGCCTCAGCATGCAGAGAGTGAATAAGACAACACCAGGGGCCTTATGTATCAAGATTCTCAGAGTAGGAGTGCTGATTTGAGATCAGTTTTGCCTTTTCGATCACAATTAATACGATTTAGTATTTTATTTGGATCCCCAATTAGCCGTTGCTAATCTCTTCCTGGAGTCCGAACAGGAAACAAAACACAACAAATAGAATACATTATACACTACATAATACAATACATAATACAATAAATACTGTCTCTTCACGGTCGCCATCGTGCTGTAAGGTGTTCTTTTATCCGTTTTTTAAATCTGGTTGTATTGCTAGTTTGAGTTACCTGGGGTGGTAGAGAGTTCCATGTAGTCATGGCTCTATTTAATACTGTGTGTTTCCCAGCCTCTGTTCTGGACCTGGGGACTGTGAAGAGACCTCTGGCTGCATGTCTTGTGTGGTACCAATGAGTGTCCGAACAATGTGCCAACTGCTTGAACAGACAGTTCGATACCTTTAACCATCAACACCTCGCACAAAGACTTTGAGCCAGGAGAGATTGACATGCATACCACTGACATTCACCCTCTGTGTACATTTTAAGTGCAATACGTTCTGTTCTGGACCAACTGCAATTTTCCTAAAACCTTCTTTGCCGCACATGACCACACAACTGGGCAGTAGTCCAGGTGCGACTAAACTAGGGCCTGTAGGACCTGCCTAGTTGATTTAGATGTCAAGAAAGCAGAGCAACTTCTTATCATGGACAGACCTCTTCCCATTTTAGCAACCATTTAGTCTATACGTTTTGACCATGACAGCTTGCTATCTAGGGTTACATCCAGCAGTTACATGGACAGGGGGCGACCTGATCCTAGATCAGAACTCTGAGACGCTTGATACATGCAGGCAGCCCCAGAGCCCTGTACTGAGAATAGAAATATATGGCTCTGGACAACATGAGTCTTATATGATGATATGACCATTGTTGGTGTGCCGTGTTTCAACTTCAGTCTTAAAGAAAACAAAAAATAATATTATTGGTTTTGTGGGATCAGGGTTTTTCTTTTCACACAGTTTTATGAATTAATCATTTGTTTACTTAAATGAATCTGATGTAAGCTTTGTTGACAATGATCAGTGGCACACTACACACTACTACTTAATTACATTTTTGAATACTGACTTACAATCTTTCAGTTTCTAAATATTGAATGGGTTAAAAAATGTAACACTAAAATTGCTATTATGGGTGAAGTATCGCAATGTGCAAAACTAATTGCAGATTTTTGGGGAAATGATGATACACAGTTATTCTATTCACCATCATCTGTTGGTAATTACAGTATGTGTATCTTTGTGAATTTGTGTTATTTACATTCTTGTGTTCTTTTGAGATATTTGCCAAACTGTTGAAACCATAGCATTTTATATTATTTGGAGCTAAGCTAAAATGTTGGTATTAAACTTAAATATTATGAAAAGTGGGAACAGATGGTTGATATTTGTATAAAGCATAGAATAATTTTTTAACTAAATGCCTCATTGGCATAACCACTCCATTGTACCTGTCTGTACGGTATATAATAAACATTCTTTCATATTTATTGAATGTTAATAAATAGCTCTCCTTTTACCACTTTTATATGTTTTCGATGTTTCAATGAACTGTGTATCCTCCATAACGTGAGAAATAAATCTTAGGCTATATCCACTTACTGGCCTAAAGTGTGATTTGTTTGACATGTTTGAATCTAAACTTCAGGACACAAACTGCACACAAAATCCCATACATACTCAGACACAGACATACTACGATTAGCCTAATCATTTTAACTTGAGTTTCCATTTGAGACATTCGTTTAGAGAAATTTCCACAAAAGTTCAAGCTATCACACTTCGCAGCCAATTGACTCACATCTGACCTGATTGTCTTCTTGTGTTATTGAGTTGGCTTCTCAGTGTATTCTGAAACAAAGGTTGCCTAGAACTTGAAGGTCTTTCCTAGAACAGTTGTACTTTTTCTATGTAGGCCAACAATGGTCTTGGTCACTTGTTTCGTGCTCTTTTTTTTTTTTGCTGTCAGAATATTCGTGGGGAAGTGTTCCTCTGAGAATCCCGGCCGGCAGGTCATAGTGTTCAACACCCCCTCAGTCACGTGATCACACACACGATCAGTAGTTTCCCTGTTCAAGTTTGACTGGAGGAACAAATGTGAACATTCTAATAATGGCTCACGGGTAATCAGAAGACCCTTTGATCTAATACAAATCTTAAATCTTAAATCCTAAATCTGCTCTCTATTCCACTGGTACAGTATTTGTGAGAAACTAAATGAAAATGCTCTTTTAAGAAGCTTTCATAACAGAGTAATTTGCTCCACTTTATCTGGCCTAATTTTGCATGGGTCCAGAACTTGGGGAAATGGTAATTAATGAAATAGTGAACACTGAAATGGTGAATACCATATCTTAATTATAATGAACTATCTGACCCTATATGACCTCTTGTTCACATGTAATGTAAATAGTCCCTTTAAAATCCTCCATGCTGTTAATTGTATATACTATTTAAACACTGTGTTAGCATAAAGGATGCTATTTAACACATTCTTAATCTTGTCAGCAGCCAATAAGCCTATTAACACTCATCAAATACTATTGTGTTGTGTTTACACTAATCATTAGGCTTGATTAAAGTTGCTTGTGTACTTAGCACTGTCCTCATATGTCTTTAGTATGGTGACTTTATAAGGGTTTCATGACTGTTTACTTTTAATCCAAATAAAAATGAATAGGCCTAGCTACTGAAATAAGTTAGGCTATCTAGCCTATTCCATAATGACCATGCATTTCAAAGAAGGCTGTGGGACAAGTTCTCCAGCCCTGCTTGGTATTGGCTTGAAGCAGGAGAGGAGGAGTATCCTGGGTCAGACTGAGGCATGATGATGATGCGGAGGGGTAAAAAAGCTGGTCCCGCAGAGGGAGATCACTGCGATTCCAGCGAGCAATCACTGCAGCGCAAACAGGTCTGGGGAGGAAGGGATAGAGAGAGGGGAGCCACCACCCCAGTCCACTTCACTCCACCAGTCCACCCGCAATATGATCACACACGCGCCGATGGAATAAGCAACAAAAGAACAGTGAGAAAACTAAAGGAATCTCACGTCATCTCCCGCGAGGAATTCGATTCGAATAGGCTACTTTCGTTCCTTCTACGTGACGCTAAATTTGGACACGTCCAGGTAGACAGACAAAACTTTCGACAGCGACTTTAGGCCTATATATTTTAGGATTGCATTACGCATTGAAGTTATCCATGCCGACTTCATAACCAGGCATTGCATTTAGATTTCCATTTTATTTTTTATTTTGTTATCCTAAACCACCTGTCTGAATATAACTGAGGATGATCATGTTTTCACACGAGTTCTTCGTCTCCTTCCTCGCGGTTACCTGTCTATTTGGGATACCCAGAGCCTCCGCAGCGGCATGCGAGCCCATCCGGATCCCGCTGTGCAAGTCCATGCCCTGGAACATGACGAAAATGCCCAACCACCTCCACCACAGCACCCAGGCGAACGCAGTCCTAGCCATTGAGCAGTTTGAAGGGCTTCTTGGCACTCAGTGCAGTCCAGATTTACTGTTTTTTCTGTGCGCCATGTACGCTCCAATATGCACTATTGACTTCCAACACGACCCTATCAAGCCCTGCAAGTCGGTGTGTGAGCGGGCGAAATGCGGCTGTGAACCGGTGATGAAGCGGTATAATCACACCTGGCCAGAGAGCTTGGCCTGCGAGGATCTGCCAGTCTATGACCGAGGAGTCTGTATCTCACCAGAGGCCATTGTCAAAGCAGAAGGACCAGGTAGGATAAGGGTGATGATGATTGATTCCATGGTGTATTTCTGAAATAGATATTGTGAATAAATATACCTCACATAATATAAAGAGAGAGATCAAAAGGAAAAGATGATGATGATGTACAATTCTCTACAGCAGCCACTTCTAAGTACATATTATTCCTCTCTTCCTCAGACAACCCCTACTATCAAGACCCCTCAAAATGCTCACCTGGTAAGATGCATGTGACCATTGAACATGTTCCCAATATAAAGTGATATAAAAAATGAAACCACAGTTGCCTATTTCATTAGAGGCTACTTGTGAAGTTGATAGATTATACTGTTCTTAAGTGAAAATGTTCTCATCATAGTTATTTTTATTCAGAATCAACTCCTGACTTTCCAAGTGACTCTCACAATGTCAACTGTAAAGGAGCCAACAATGGTAAAATAATATTCACATTTTCTTTGCTTTATCTAAACATTTGAATACTTTTGCATGGAGCTGTTTTTGTCCTAACATACTGAAAATGTAACTTTGTGTGCTTAGAAATGGATGTCTACAATATTTTTGGCTATTGAATTTAGTGCTGAAGAATCTATTCTGTACAGCATTATGTTAGAATATGATATAGATTTTGATCTTGTGTTTATCATTACATTAATTTCAAGAATGTAATACTGCTGTTCAAAAACGTGTAGACATATAGGGCGATTTCATCCCAGATGTTCTACAATGAATCACATTATCCTTTTATTGTTTCAGATCGATGCAAGTGCAAGTCGGTAAGACTGGGTCTCAAGACCTACCTAAAGAATAATTACAATTATGGTGAGTTATTTTCTGTATGATTTTCTTAGGCAATTATTTTTGCAGTTCATAAATGAGTGAGAGAAGATTATAGAATGAGAGAGAGATAGTTACTTAGATAGCTGATTATTACAATGCATGATATTATCATTGTCCTAAAACTCTGTGGGACGGTATTCCAGACACAGATTAAACCTAGTCCTGGAGTAAAAAGCACTCTCAATGGAATCTCCATCAAAAGTGCTTTTTAGTCCTGGACTAGGCTTAATCTGTGTCCAGGAAACCGGCCCTGTATGTTCAGTAAAACAAGTTGGCTTTCAAAAGTAAAGGATCCTAAAATAATCAAATTAACTAAAATCCTGTTGAATCTTTTCCTCCCAGTGATTCGTGCAAGGGTGAAGGAGATTAGAAGCAGGAATCATGATCTGAGTGCCATCGTGGAGGTCAAAGACATCCTGAAGTCTTCCTTAGTGAACATCCCTCGTGAAACAGTCACACTGTACTACAACTCTGGCTGTCCATGTCCTCCTCTCACTGCCAACGATGAGTACATCATCATGGGTTACGAGAATGAGGAGAGATCCAGGTACGTCTTTAGCCAGTCGTATTACTGTATCTCTACTGGCAACAATCAATCATGGGATAATTTATATATTATTGTGTACATCAGGGGAGCTGCCAATTCCAATTCCACATTTCATCATTGAAAAGCAATGGAGGAGAATAGGAATTGGAATGGAACTTTCAGTTTACTTCCTGAATTGGTGGAATTGAAATGGAATTGACTCCAACCCTGTTGTACATTTTAAGGAAGGCAGTAGGACCTACTGTAGCCTACTTCCTGCTTTATGTAATGCATACCACATTGTAACTCATATGCCACCTACCTGTCTGTCATACATGTAGGCTTCTGCTCATCGAAGGCTCCATTGCACAGAAGTGGAAGGACCGTATGGGGAGGAAGGTGAGGCGTTGGGACCAGGTACTGAAGGACCAGAGCCGGGGGAACTCAAGGGGGAGAAGCAATATGCAGAGGAGCCGCCACTGATCAACCAAGACGCGTCCCTGTGCAGTGATGATAGGGTTGCAAAATTCCACTAACTTTCTCAAAATTCCAAGATTTCTGGAATCAGGAGGGAATAAGCAAGAAATCCGTAATCCTCCAACCGGGATTTCTGGGAATTTGGGGAAAGTTACCAGAATGTTGCAACCCTAAATGATGACATATGGGACAACATGTGGAGACAGAAAGATAGAAAGAAAAGTGTTTGCAGACAGAAAACTGAAATTGCACTATTGCACGTTTTTATTTTTCAAACTGTTGTAGCTGAATGTAGATACTTTTTTTAGTTGTTGCTTTGTTTTGTATTATATTTGTTTATAATTCTTTTAAAAAACTTTTTCATTCTTTTTTGGGACGAACAAAATGTTCATTTAACAGTGCTGAGTGTGTGTACAGTTGGACGAGGATTGCGAGCCTTGCGTGGGACTTGGCTGGAAGAGTGACAGTGACTGCATCCCAAATGGCACCCTATGAACTATATAGTGAACTTTATACTTTTGGCCCAGGCTCTGGTCAAAAGTAGTGAACTATATAGGAAATAGGGTGCCATTTGGGATGCACAAATGTCTTAGCACAGCGTTATGTTAGAAGCACTCTAAAGAAAAATGATGGATATTTATCTAGCAGCTAGAGACGGCACATTGGATGAAGTGGATGTCTTTAAGATACCAAAGTGCTTTCACGATGGGGTGCTCTGTTATGCTTTATTTCTTTTAAAGGAAACACAAACAAGTTGTAATCTGGCTATTTTCCACTACAAGAGGATTTAACATATTTCAAAGGAGAAAATGAACAAAGGATGAGGAGGGTGGGAGGGAGGGAGGCGGGACATATTTTTTGTCAGTATGCAAAGAAAAGTCAGAATGATCCAAGAAGACAGAGAGTATATCGACACAAAACACGACAACATTGAGCTATTGAAATAATGATTGCATTACATGTAATGTCTCCTGGCTTAGTTCTCTCGCTCTCTCTTTGGAACAAAAAGTTTGAATAGTTTTCTTATATGTCTCATGCTTTGGAGCTCAGATGATTTGCTGATTGTCTTTCTTACAGTCGTTTTTGGTGCTTTGGGTTTTTCTAAACTGAACTGTAGATCTATACTTCTCATATACATCACTCTGGTTTGACTTCGTTCACAACATACATACAGACATGCATACATATATAAATCTATGAAATGCTAACCACCGCTCAATTGTGATTGTAAATCTGATTTGAGTGCTTTATTAAACATTGTCTGGCTGGTGTCATGTCCAACTCATACTCCATGGCTGTATGTCTTGCACATAATGTGATCAGAAAATGTTTTTATTCCAAAACAATATTTTCCTCAGCAAACACGTAGTGTACAGTATTACCCGGCCCTGTATAGCCTAACCTACTTGAAGAACTCAACCTGTCCACAATTGAAACTAAATTGACATGACTAAACTACAACATGGGAGGCCATGACTGGCTAGCCTACACACTTCAACATATTGAGAGAAGTTTGGTGAGGAGTCTGGACTGCACTGTAAATGAACAGGAGTAAAAGAGGAATGAAGAGGGAAGCTGTATGTATGAGTAGCTACCAGGTTGAGGAAAGTAAGAGAGAGAATATGGACTGAGGCCAAATCAGCGTACTGCTCGCCTGCTCCCTCCCGGCCAATGAAAACATTCATGCTCTTAGTCAGAGGGAGTCTGTTTATCATCCAACAGTACACAGTCTCCTAACCAAACCAATCGACAGGGAAATGATATGTGTTTAGACTTACAGGGGCTTGCTCGTTGTGAACAGACAAAGCTTGGACTTGCACAGTGACAGACAGAAGCTGCAAAACAGATTCTCCTCACAATAAAAGATGTCTACCAGTGTTACATGAACCATGCAAAGTTGCTTAGTTTGTCAAGCAACCTAGTTCATAGTAAAAAATGCACAATAGAACAAGAATAGCAATTCATAATATAACTATTTTACTGTTGCTTACTTGTCATATTAAATGAAATAACATACAGGGAAGTGGACAGTTTATTATTTGTCACCCAGGTCAGCGAAATACTGAGGTCTTGAATGCTTCCTGGCCCACACTACTGTACATCATCAAATATTCTAAATCTCCCTATGTGAAGTCCATAGAATAAAAATGATGATCATTCAATTTCTATGACAACGTCATCCTGTCGAGTGCTTCCGGAACGTACTTAATTACAGGCAAGCAGAGATGGACTGTAGGGGAGGAATATATGAGTGAAGAGACTCAACTTAATCATGGACTGTCTGTGGTGAGTTTCTGAGATAATGAACACAAAATGAATTTGTTATAATGTCAAAAATGTACTGACCCCACCTCGATGTTGGGTCCATAAATTGGGAGGCCATCTTCAGCCGCAAGCAGGCATGCACAGTTGCGCGCACACACACACACACTACTACCCCTGACTTGTTTTACTGCGACCTGACACTCTGGATAAATCGCTCTCATAATTAATCTGTCCCACCCCCTGCATTTTAACTCACGAAAATGATGCACCATGTGGGAACCATCAAATCCCAGTACAGTGCAGTGAGAGATGTAAATCTTGTTTTCCGGCGTAGCCGCTCTGCTCAGTGTTGGGTTGTGTCCCAAATGGCACCCTATGGGCCCGAGTCAAAAGTAGTGCACTATATAAATAATAATATGCCATTTAGCAGACGCTTTTATCCAAAGCGACTGACAGTCATGTGTGCATACATTTTTACGTATGGGTGGTCCCGGGGATCGAACCCACTACCCTGGCGTTACAAGCGCCATGCTCTACCAATTTGAGCTACAGGGAATAGGGTGTCATTTGGAACACATCAAGTGGAGTGAGATCATGGCAGGGGCATCGCTCTGTTCCAGTCACTTCCTGCCTCCCTAAACATATTACTGACTGGGTTTATAAGACACAGATTTAATGACTTCCATAAGAGCACAGTGAGTGACACACCATCAAGCCCTACTGCACCTGCAACCTCTCGGCTGAACGCTGAAACTATAGGCCAGATAAAGTGCACTTTTAATCACTCTTCACTCTGCAAAAATAGTGATTTTATTTCACATTATGACTTTGCAATAATGATATTATGAATCAGCTCTGAAACAATTTCATTACAGTTGCCATTTGTCATTCTCCTGTAGAATAAAACAATGCAATGATGCATGATGAGAAACGATTCCGTGACACCAGGCTATTCACCTCTATCTGCTCTCCGTCCTTCTTACACTAGTACTCGCTGTTCCTCTCCTTCTATCTGTTCCTCTCCTCGACCTTGCCAGGGAGACTGAGAAAGTATCTGCCCATTTCCCATGAAAGCTCAGCAGCCCTGTTTCCTGTGCTGGAGCTTAGGGGAAGGCATGGGGGGAGGTGAGAGAGATGAAACGGTCCAGGGATGAGAACACAGTGGCAACACATCAAACTTGTCTCTCTCTCTCTCTTTCCATCTCTCTCTCTCTGTCAGAAACCTCTGTCTGCACCAGTTTGCGGTACGCACCGACCACCGTCACAGAGAGAACACACAGGAACAAAATCTCTCATCACCATAAGCGACCCCTCTGGACCCATTGGAGGAGATGGCCGATCTGTTCCCATCCTCATCCTCTGGCTTTATGAGTATAAGAGCCACATGTTAGATGAATTAGCTAGGAAGCATATCAAGACTGGACAAAATGTGTTGAACCAGTGTCCCATGTCCAATGCAAACTAACTTGCGTCAGAAAATATCTACCAGGCTGCAACAGACCCTAATTGATTATCTTGTGGTTTATCATTGGTAGAAGTGTGAATGGGCCAGACCATGGCCATTAGAAGTGTGAAATATGAAGTTTGGGTGGATGTATAGAGACAGGTTCTGTGCTGCTGCTGTTCTGCTTGTTACCCAGGCCCAGCGTGTTTAATGTTCCCCCTGGAGAGATGACCTTTACCTCCCCCTGCTGATGGCTGGCTTCAACGAGGCTTCGCTGAGCCTGTTTGCTGGGCCTTGGGTGACTGAATGATTGCTCCATGTTTATTTTCCTCTGAGAGGTGGAAAAACCCCACCCTCCCGACCAACCCGGGGCCGCTGGAAGGGGTTGGAGCGGAGAGCTGAGGAGCGGTGTGGAGCTGGCAGCACTTCCACCATTTCTGGCATCAGCGAGTTGTAACATCTTATAACCACAGTGTGGTTTTTATAGGGGGAACATTGAAGTTCACGGAAAACACACAATTTAACTTTGAAAGAGTACGTCATTTGAAATAACTATTGGAATTTCTGTTTTGTGTTATAAGCTTTATAATTTCATTGGATAATAGTTCAACTGAGAGAGTTTGGTTTTTATTTGTAGCTACGCTCCTAAATCAATTTGCTCAAAATCTGTGCAGCAGCCACAGACTAGAATGAAAAAGGTTGGTTCACACGATGAAAAAGTGTCAGGCTAAGTAACGTACACGGGGAGTCCCATGTGGCCCCTATCCTATCTGTTTATGTGTTTCACATAGTGGTTAGTCATACCCAGGAGCCCTCTATTAAAGTTAATGGCTTTTCTCCATCAAGTGCCTGACTTACATTCTCAATTAGAGCACCTATAAAGTTACCCACAGGCTGTAACTTCACACTGGATTACACTGAAGAAGAATAGACTCAAAGAGCCCTGATGGAATTTAAAGCGTTTTCGGTCTTCATGTATTGCTTCCATCCCTCTCCTTGTCTCAAACCAGGGACCCTCTGAACACATCAACAACAGTCACCCACGAAGCATCGTTACCTATCGCTCCACAAAAGCCATGGCCCTTGCAGAGCAAGGGAAACAACTACATTAAGGTCTCAGAGCGAGTGGCATCAGCGATTGAACGCTACGCATCGCTAACTAGCTAGCCATTTCACACCGGTTATATTCAGAAAGAAAACAATACCTACCTGTCCAGGGACTATAGATTAAAATACAGATGAAACCTAAGTGATGTAAAGTAATCCAGCTGTGAGGGGACCTTGTTGAGAGAGATACATGTAATTATTATCTATTAGCCTCTTCTCTAGCCCCCCAGGATACCACACCACACACACACACCATGCCTGAGTAAGCCCTGTGTAAACAGCTGTGTTCCTGCTGTGTATTAAAGATCTAAGGGCCTGGGGCTGGGTTTCTACTAAGCTAACATATAGAATTGTTTTAAGATGGTCATACTAAGGATCATTTAGCTATTGTATTTTTTATTTTAGGACCCCTATAAGTATAAAAAATAAAAATCTATCAAAAATGAGTATGTTTTGAAGTGTCTGTCCTACCATGCTGTGTTGTCATGTGTTGCTGCCATGTTATGTTGTTTTCTTAGGTCTCTCTTTATGTAGTGTTGTGGTGTCTCTCTTGTCATGATGTGTGTTTTGTCCTATATTTTTATTTTTAATCCCCCGTCCCCACAGGAGGCCTTTTGCCTTTTGGTAGGCCGTCACTGTAAATAAGAGTTTGTTCTTAACTGACTTGCCTAGTTAAATAAAGGTTAAATAAAAATAAATATCTGAGAGACCCATATTTAACCCCTTTTTTTGGCACTAAAGTACTTCCATATATACACTACCGGTCAAAAGTTTTGGAACACCTACTCATTCCAGGGTTTTCCTTTATTTTTACTATTTTCTACATTGTAGAATAATAGTGAAGACATCAAAACGATGAAATAACACATATGGAATCATGTAGTAACCCAAAAAGTGTTAAACAAATCAAAATATATTTTATATTTGAGATTCTTCAAATAGCCACCCTTTGCCTTGATGAAAGCTTTGCACACTCTTGGGATTCTCTCAACCAGCTTCACCTGGAATGCTTTTCCAACAGTCTTGAAGGAGTTCCCACATATGCTGAGCACTTGTTGGCTGCTTTTCCTTCACTCGGCTGTCCGACTCATCCCAAACAACTGACATGTACGTGTTCGTGAGAGTCTCACCTTTCAATCGATGGTGTGGTCATATCCGTGTGTAGCCCAAACTGTTTGGACGCTACAGAGAGAAGTTGGCAGATCGGCGGTACCGACTTCAGATTAGTGCTGTGAGTGCTAGTGTTTTCGTGAGAAGACCGATTCAAACACCGCTTTGGCTCTGCCACATTCCACCGCCGACATCGGCGGATGCAGTGGATTGAGACCATGCAAAAAACCCGGATATCTCTAGCTTAAACAGACAGTTTTGATGGGGATTTATTATTATATTATGCTAATGTGATTTCCGCCAGGGCGAGGACATCGACTCTAAGGAGTTAAGTGGATCTAAGTGCACAGCAAATTTGCGGGTGTTAATATCTCGGTGTTGAGGTAAAAAGTGTTGTGAATGTTATATCTGAATGTTGATTCAAGTGGGTTTAACACCAGTGGAATTGAAATTGACGTGTTGGTGTTGTTGTTACTCGACTGTGTTGAGTTAATTTCCGTGAACTCTCTTAGGGCTCCATTCAATCCGCATTGTGGAAATTCAGCTTTACAGCGTGATTTAAATTTAAAAGGCAATGTTGTCGCTTCAGTTTAGCAAAGACTGTTTTCACGGTAAATGCTGCTTATGTCGGCTCAATTGGAAATTACCTTAAAATGTAAATTGCGGAATCTGTAACGCTTCAGTTTTACAAATTGAATTGAGCCCTCAGAGTGAAAAACACATTGGAGGGGCCTCATTATCATATTTCCCAGAATGCTTTGCTGCAGGTTGCTTTTTAAAATGTTTTAATATCTACAGTATGTTTCTGCATGCACATTGATTGATTAATTGAGTTTATAATACACAAAGATAAATAACATACATTTAATTTAAAAAATGAGTTGCTTCCAATAGTTTCTATTTTTTCGAAGAGATTGTCAGTTGGATAGGCTCTCTGCAAACTTTTCTATATCTTACCTATCATATGAGTATCTTTTTCTGACAAATAGGATTCCCTCAACATTGCTCTGAAAGCATTCAGGTCGAAATGTTGTGATATAAAACGTTTAAGTTACATATATTTGAAAATGTCTACATTAGTCAGTCCAAAATTGCTTTTGAATTCTGTCATGGAAATGATTGTATTTCCTGTTACCAAGTCATTTACGGTTTCTATGCCTTTAGTTTTCCATGTGGACCAATTTATCGGTGAATTCTGAAAAGCTATCCAAAGATTGTTCCACAGGGGTGTGTTTTTAGGGAGTGATATTGGTTCTTGTAGAATACGTTTCATTTTCTTCCATATTGTTATAGTGTTCTTAACTATGAAGTGAAAAGATTCTGGGGATGAGCTTGCGCATTTTCAATATGTACCATTGTTCCTCTTTAGTGCATTTAACAATATGTCGCAAGTAAAAGCCTTGGGTTGCGAGTTGATAACAATAGAAAATCTGGAAGGTTAAAACCACCCTTAGATTACATTTTTCTAAACTAATGTTTGGACTTATTTCACCCGTTATTGAGATGGTTGTTCTAGTTTAGATGGTTTAGGTAGTCTCATATATCAGTCTTCCCTACCTTGGCAGTCATTCTAACTGCAATTGTAGGTGGTTAAAAGTTCCAACCTTTAGATATCCTAATTCTGTCTGGATTCCAATAGGAATTATATAACACTTTGCAAGCCAGCATAATATAACTGCCGATGTGGGCTGCAAACCATGAGTTTCTGACCACTGTGTTAGGTGAAAACTAGGCTGTCAAAGTATGGTATTGTCAAAAAAAGTAATATATCATTTTTTATGATAATATATTCACTTAAATGAAAGCCATAAATGCAACAACCATGTCTCTGTCACTAGCAAACACAGTCATGGGTGGTACTGGTATCTCTAAAAGTCACTCGAAGGCATCCTGGTAAATAAATATGCAAATAAGGCTTTATACCCTACAGTGTTAAAACACACAAAAATGATTTACTGTAACACCACAGGTGTTAATTCTCTAATACTGAGAAAGTGTAACAGCATCAGCTCTAATAAAGTGTTAATTTAAGTTGGAATTTGCAACATCCATGGTGTTAGGGACCCAACAGTCTTGGGCTGTTTGTTTATCAACACTTTTAAAAGTGTTAGTTTAACACTATTTTGGTGGGTCACATATACACACAGTAAGAAAGTGTTACATTTAACACTGTGGGTGTTAAAATTCTGATCTCAGGTAGGACATTGAGCTAAAGCCTACAAGTTAGGGTTATGGCTGGCCGAACAGACACTTGGATGGGAGGTGGCCTGAATGGTAGCCTAGTCCAGCCAGGTTGCTCAAGATCCACTGCGAAATTTGATGTCCATCCAGGTAAGCAGGACATCGGGAGATGACTTAAAAACTGGCCACTAGGGGCAATGGTGAGTGCTATTACCATTAAATAGGCTTGGGGTTTGCTAGGACATTGTGGACAGGGATGGTGAATGGGCGTAAGCTGTTCAATTTGTTTTAACCCAAACCTTAACCCTTACCTCAACCATTCGGAATGAATGCCTACACTTAACCGTGGAGTTGCTGTTTTTTAACCCTATCCCAAACCTTAACACTTAACTTAACCATTCTGAATTAATGCTTAAACTTAACCTTCGAAAACTGACGTTTATGGACAAAAGTCGGATTCTGCAGTGAGACTGAGCTTGTTGGCCTAGTCTCCCATGACTCTGCCAAGTCTTCAATCAACCATACTTCCTCAGCTCTTGAACATGACACATTACAGAGGCACTGACATGTAGCTACACCACCGGACACCTGACAGACCCCAGCAACCACTCCCCACAACCCCACCGTACTAATGCCTAAGACAGCTAGTCAGGGCATACGTGCTCCAGCCTCTCTCAATGCAATTACGGATATGAATGCCCTTACACATAGTAGGGTAGGCTACTCAGGAAAAGTCCACTTGGTTTTCACCTCATTAAAAGGGTATGTTGTTATTCTGTGGCAGACTGGGGGACTGAGCCATTACAGCAGGTACAGCTGTTTTAACACTCTGGCCTGGCAGCCTGTCAGTGTGAATACAGTACACATCTGTGAGATATTTCAACTGGATTTGGAGCTCAACACACACACACACCCCTCCTCTTCTCCAGAGAGTGCACCTGCAGGGCCAGACATTAGTTCTTCTCTCCCAGAACCCAGATCACGACTGCAATGGGCTCATCAGGCTTGAATTCACTGTATTGAAATGGAATTGACAAAAACCCTGATTGACTCAAACAC